ACTTTATCAGCGGTTTGCAAACCGACACCTAATCCAGAAGACATTTTCGGATTCGGCGATGTTGATCGACGTCGTTTGCGCGTTTGTCCCGAAGTCTCATCGGACGTAGTAGTTTGTACTACGAAATATATCGGAGTTAAGTCTTGAATCAGTCGGTAATCTAAATATTTATGAATTTACCAATTTGTGGAGCCTCATCTTCCACTACAATTGGCTTCCACTTTTGCGTGCGCTGTTCTTTTTCTTGTTCTGAAAGATCTGTGCAATGTCGGATGACACACTGACTTATTAATCGATGTATGGAAACAAATGAGCTAGAATTTACTTACCAACCACGGGCGCGATTTCCTCGTCGGAAACAGGACTTTTCCATTGTTCGACAGTTTCTTCTTCATCGATAATGGCGACAGATGCAGCAGAGTCCTTGACTTTTCTTTTCTTTTTCCTCCTTACGATTTCTGAAGTTGAAGAAGTACCATAATTTTTAGCTAAATAATCGTCAAGGGAGGACATTTTTGTAGAAATAGTATCTGACCCAGCTTTTTGATCTAATATTGATCACGTGCTTAGCATATATATGAGTTGGCCAATCAAAAATATGAATGAGATAATTAACTAATGATTATAATCACGCAATATTTAAATAAATATCTAATAAGTTACATAGTCAAAAAAATATTTATTCATCATAATATTACATATATAAAATTATAAATAAATTGTTAATTTTTTATTTATTTGCTAATAAATCTTAATACTTTTTTTAAATCAACTTGAAATATAACTTTAAAAATTATTATTATCTTTTATCTTTTATTTATAATTTTTACACTCAAAAACTTACTTCCTAATAATTAAGAAAAATTAAATAATATCTTCATTATCAATAAGAAAATTCTCAGAAAGAAAAACTAATTATATAATATCAAAAATAAAACAAGTCCCTAAAATAATTGATAGAAATATAAATAAAAATATAAATTATTGTTTAATTTGACAAATAAGACTTTTATTAAGTAATAGTATATAATTTAATTATGTAAGTTATTTATTTAGTTTGATTTTTTTATACTATCTTTTACTCTATTATAAGTATATCAATTTTATCATAATTTGATATTATTTTATTAGTTACTTTATTCTA